TTTCTATTTTATTTTTTTTTATAAAATAATTTAAAACTCACTCCAGCAAAATTTCTTTATATATAATAGTTAAATTATAGCAAAAGCATCAACTTGAATAGTCTCTTTATTTTTATAGTGAAACAGTAAAAGAATAAAGGAATTGAAAAAAACACATCACATGTGTGATGTTGATTTTAGCGGATTTAATACCATATTTATTGCCCAATTCCTTTTAATAGTAACTTTCAGTATTATGTTTAAAATGGAAAAATGTAGGGTTAACTGAAAATTTATTTTTTCAAAACCAGAAGCATCACAGAATAATTTTTAGTAGCTCACAATATCAATTTGAGTTTTAAGATTATTAAACGAAAAAATTATCTTCTAAATAGTTGTTATTATCATTAAGAAATTACACTTTACATATATACATTATTTAACTGATTTAGCTCGTGATTTGTAATTTATTTAATAGATGTATTTAGTTACATCATTTTATCCACTATTTTCCCACTTATGATTCAAAATTTCAAATCAAGAAGACAAAAAAGAAATTGAGTTTTAACCACTTGAAGGTAAAATATAACAAAATCAAATAAATAACTTTTCTAGATTAAAAATATCTAACCCAACATTAAAATTACCATTTAGATATTTCATCACAAATATAATGAATACCTTAGGTCAGTTCTTTAACACTTAAAATATTAGCAAACTATTTAATTATGTAAGCAGAAGGTTTGTATATATTAATCAGTAAATAATTAAACGGTATCTAATCAGACGTGTAGTATAGCACTTTAACCATAAATAAAGGATTTCACAAATAAAACTTTATCACCTTTTCATTATCTGTTGTTATCTGAAAGAAACATTACTACAAAAATATTGACCTATATTAATATAATAAATTATACATATACTAATATATTTAACATATTTAACATATTCAACAAATTACACATATTTGACAAATTTAATGTCTAATATATTTATATGTTTGATATGTCAATCATGTTAAACAGGTCAAACTTTAATCAATTCCAAACCTGCACAGAATGATACTAAACTATTAAACAGATAATTGTTGATCTATATTGGTCAGCTATATCCACACCTCCTATAAAATGATTATAATTATCAATAACTTTTGGTATTGATAATTCTTTTTTTAGAATTATTTCTAAAAGCTCTTTTGGCCTCTTTACAGTTATAGAATTTGTGGTATTTATTCTTGCATGATGATATTCATGAATTATATGATTTTAGTCTATTTTTAATCTTATAGTTTGTTGCTAATATAGTGATAGATCCATTATCAATCAATAAAATGGATAAAACTTGATCTATTACAACTCCTTCCAATCTAATTTATGGTTTATTTTTAAATTATTTGGAAATTTAAATAAATTCATTTTTACTGTACCATATGCTCCATATTCATATTTTTTTAAAATTTAAATAAATTAATATTAGAAAAATTGTCCATATTAAAACATTTATATTCAGATAATTGTTTTACTAAATGGTACACTTGCCAACTAGTATTATTTAGACCAGAAATTTTGCTCAACTATTGGATTTTTTAATATTCTTAATAAAAATATAAATGAAAATATATATTATTCCATATCAAATAATGATAAAGTCTTGTACCCTTCTGGTGTTGGTTTATTTTTAATTTAGTTAGTCTCAGCTAATCCATAAATATCTAAATTATTATCTTTCATTGCAAAAATTAATTTTTCGTTATTTAATTGCATTACTAAGCATAATGTGTTGAGAGAGATATTCTATACAAGGAATAATTACTTTGTTGATCATATAAATCACGTGATTGTGTGTTAATTTCTTTTTTCTCAGTATTAGTTGTTGCAACTTTCGTTATTGTTCGTTTTGGGGAAATATTTTTTGATTTTTTTTGTTGTTGATATTATATTGGAAAAGTATGAGAACTGCAGCCAGAAAATCCCACAATCATTATCAATTGAAATATTAAATGTAATTGAAGGGATATTTTTGATATGTATACTTAGTGGCTAGTACTAATTATGAAAAAAAGTCTTATCTTAATCAGTAATAGATAATATCCTTTTATTTGTTCAAATCTTACACAATAATTTGAAAATACCATATAAATTAATATTGCAATAAAAATTCTTAATTTTGATATATTTAAACTTTGCTATAGCCTCCTTTCTCAGTTAATTTAGACATTGCATATTCATTTTTATTATTAACTATAATAGTTAAAATATCAGAAGAAAATATTAAATATGGAGTACTATGATTCTAACAGATAAATATATTATTCATGGTGAATTAGTAGATGCTTTGTGCAAAGGATTAAATGGCAAAACTTATCAAATTAAGGAGGTAATAGAAGTTATTGTATTCTTATTTTTATTTCTCTTTTCTTGTTCACTTTTATTACTTTTATTTTCAATATCTTCCTTTTATTCTTCCAACTTCTTCCTATAACATCTACAAAATCAGTAACACTTTTTTTATAGTAATCTTTATACATAAGCTATGCTAGGTTTTTTCTAAAATTAATTATAGCATTTTAGAGAGTAAATGCGGTTTATTGTTTTATTAGCATTTCGATAGTATTAACATTTAGATAGTATAATAGTTGATTTTGGGATACACGTAGTATCATAAAACTTCAAATAAATATATATAGCATAATTAAGTAATGGAAATATCTTCTATAGTTTGTGATTATGAAAATATCCAGTATTATTATAAGATGAAATAATATTATCTTTGCATAATTTTGTTTCTTTTAGTAGAAAAAATTAGTATTAGAGTTGTAAGAATAATAAAGAATTCAAGATATGAATATTGATAGATTAGCTCTTTTATTTAATTTTTATCATATTTATTTTTCAAAAAAAGGCTTAGGTTGGCTTGGTTTCAATTGGCTTAGTTTGACTATTTGTTTTAATTAGGCTTAGTTATTAAGGCTTATGCCCTATTAGGCTTAGAAAAATAGTTTTCACATGCAAAATGCCATTTAATTTGTCATATAGCATCACTATATCCATACTATTTGTCACAACAATATGTATGCTGAAGAAAGTCATTGCATATTAAAGTTGCTGGCAATAAGTAATAATTATGACCAACCTAGGTTTCAATCTAATTTCAACTATAATGAAACCTTACTACGCATAGGTTGTAAACAGTTGCATATTATGGTAGCAGCTACTAGTGCACATTTAGCATAAATATGGATGGCATTTATTCTTTATAAATTCTTTTATTGGATATGTCTGACGTAAGCTAGATGGGCAATTGGGCATTCTCTTGTATTAATTTCACAAAAATCATCTATTTGGTATTGTATTATAATACAATAAAATATTTTATACTATTTGTCGTTTATCCCATCGGTATTATATATATTTACATCGATGGATTTTTTGATTTTTTTGTAAATTACTCCACCAGTATAAAAAAGTATAAAAAGTATAAAATCCATCAGTGTATACGTCATACAAACAAGTATTTATTTCATTAGTCATCTACTTTCATAAGAATGATGGTGGATAAACTTTTGAAATACAGTATTTATTAAATTTATTACAAATTTACTAGAAATTCTAAATGATGAATTATCATTACTTCCTTCAAGAAAATTTAATAAATTTTATTATTACCTAAATTACTTATTAAACAAATATTAAAATCTTCGATTTTCATCGTATTTTTTAATTCAACTTTTCAACTTCAATATTGTGTTAGGTTTCTTTCTTTTGGTTTTCACAAAAATATAAGTGAAAAAAAATAGGAACGATAATAATAAATGACTTCCTGGCTTTTCTTATATTAAATTATCCATGTTATAGTACTTTTATTCCAAGTATTTACAAAAATTAATTATATACAAATATGAAAAAAAAGTGGGCTGGAAAATGAAAATCAGCAAAATTTTTAAAGAAAACAACGAAATACAATATAATGAATATATATTATTATGTACCGTGAAACAAATTAGTAAATACTTTAGGTATTAAAGTCTTAATAAATTTTTCTATAATTAAATACTTTAATCATTCATAAAAAATTGTCTAACAATAGGTTAAATTCATTCATTGGCTGTACATTTTTGCAATATATAAAATAAATATACAATTTATGATCACTCCCATCCACAAAATGAATCCTTGATTTAGAAATGAAATGATCGACAGTTACCTTTTGGCGTTCTATTATATAAATAGTTAACACAAAAAAATATTCAATTTTGAAAAGCTTTCCCGCATTAAGAATTTTCTTGTACCTAACAATGTCTAACAAAGCTGAACTTATTAACAATTCAAATGATTGGAATAAATGGATTGAAGAAGCTATTTCTAAAAAACTTATTAAACATTATGAATATGAGTGGTTCTGGAGGCTTTGGAAAAGTTTATCGTGCAAACTGGAAAAATTCTCATAAATGTTACGCAATAAAATCTTTTTTTAATATCAGCGATGCTACAGCTAAAGCCATTGTTCATGAGGTAATTATAATGTTAAACACATTTCATTAATTAATATAAAACTGAAGTTTAGGATTTTGATGTAATATTTTATTTATTACCTAGATTCAACTTCAACGTGAAGTTGATTTTCATGATAATGTTATCCGTTTTTATGGTGTCACAACCTCCATTAAAGGTATAAAAAGTTCTTTTATTAATTTTACATCATTTAATTACTAATTTGTAATTTTTTTTTCTTTTTTAAAAAGAAAATCAAAGAAAAGAATATTCATTGGTAATAGAATATGCTGAAAATGGTACTCTCCGAAAATATTTAAAAGAAAATTTTGATAATCTTACTTGGAGTGATAAATTTAATCTTGCATTTCAACTAGCTTATGCAGTATCATGCTTGCATGATGAAGGAATCGTGCATCGTGATTTGGTGAATATTTTACAATTATTATAATTATTATGTATTTTATTTTAATGATCATTAGTATTTTATATTTTATATTAATTTAATTATGTAATTATTTATAATAGCATTCCAATAATGTGTTAGTCCATCAGAATACTATTAAACTAGCAGATTTTGGTTTATCAAAAAGAATTGAGGAAACATCCAACTCTCAATCAAAATTATTCGGATTAATTCCTTATATTGATCCAAAAAGTTTTAATATAACATCATATGTGTTAAATGAAAAAAGTGATGTCTATAGCATCGGTATATTATTATGGGAAATATCTAGTGGTCAACCCCCTTTTTATGATATACCATATAATATTTGTTTGGCTTTAAGAATTTTACAGGGCCTTAGAGAGACACCTATCCCTAAAACACCCGAAGATTATATAAAAATTTATACCGGTATGCATAAAATTACATTTTATATAATTTACAATAAACAATGATTCTAATTAAAAAATATTATTTTATAGATTGTTGGAATATTGAACCTGATAATCGACCAACTATCAATCATGTTGTTGATAAATTAAAAGCGATTATAACAAAAGAAAATATAATTATAAAAGATTTTAACTTATACGATAATAAGAAAGATATTCAATTACCAAATATCCATCAAACTCATCAAACTAATTTAGATGTTGAAATTTCTGAAAATATTATTTCATTACATGAAGATTTATCTAAAAATACTACTCAATATTTTAATATGATGAAAACAAAAGAAATAGATTTTTCAATATCATCAAGTAATCAATTTGAGAATCTAGTTAATAATTTAATGAATTTTCTTAATAATAATGAAGTAGGAAAATTGGAATTCCTAAATTATTTTAATAAACAAAATATAACTTTGAAAGAAATTAATAATTTATTATTAGATAATCAAAATCACTTAAATTATAATGTCTTACTTGGAAAATTTAATCATTTAGGAATTGGAACTGATATTGATAAGAGAAAGGCATTTGATTTATATCAAAAAGCAACAGATTGTGGAAATGTATCTGGAATAAATAATTTAGGACATTGTTATCAAAATGGAATTGGAATTGACATTGATAAGAAAAAGGCATTTGAATTATATCAAAAGGCAGAGATTTAGGAAATGCATTTGGAATAAACAATTTAGGAAATTGTTATGAAAAAGGAATTGGAACCAATATTGATAAACAAGTGGCATTTAAATTATATAAAAAAGCAGCAGATTTAGGAAATTCAAATGGAATAAATAATTTAGGAAATTGTTATAAAAATGGAATTGGTATTAATATTGATAATAAAAAGGCATTTAAATTATATCAAAAAGCAACAGATTTAGGAAATTCAAATGGAATAAATAATTTGGGAATTTGTTATCAAAATGGAATTGGAACTGATATTGATAAGAAAAAAGCATTTGAATTATATCAAAAAGCAACAGATTTAGGAAATGCATCTGGAATAAATAATTTAGGATATAGTTATCAAGTTGGAATTGGAACTAATATTGATGAGAAAAAAGCATTTGAATTATATCAAAAGACAGCAGAATCAGAAAATGCATGTGGATTGATTTATTTAGGAAATTGTTATGAAAATGGAATTGGAACTGACATCAATAAAGTAAAGGCATTTGAATCATATCAAAAAGCAGCAGATTTAGAAGATGTATATGGAATAATTTATTTAGGACATTGTTATATAAGTGGTATTGGAACTGATATTGATAAGGGAAAGGCATTTGAATTATATCAAAAAGCAGCAGATTTAGAAAATTCCGATGGAATAAATAATTTAGGAAATTGTTATGAAAAAGGAATTGGAACTGATATTGATAAGAAAAAGGCATTTGAATTATATCAAAAAGCAGCAGATTCAGAAAATTCAAATGGAATAAATAATTTAGGAAATTGTTATGAAAATGGAATTGGAACTGATATTAATAAGAAAAAGGCATTTGAATTATATGAAAGAGCGGCAGATTTAGAAAGTGCATCTGGAATAAATAATTTAGGAAATTGTTACTATAATGGAATTGGAACTGACATTGATAAAAAAAAGGCAATTGAATTATATCATAAAGCAACAGAATTAGATGATGCAAATGGAATATATAATTTAGGATATTGTTACGAATGCGGAATTGGAACTGATATTGATAAAAAAAAGGCGTTTGAGTTATATCAAAAAGCAGCAGATTTAGGAAATTCAAATGGAATAAATGATTTAGGAAATTGTTATGAAAATGGAATTGGAACTGATATTAATGAGAAAAAGGCATTTGAATTATATCAAAGAGCAGCAGATTTAGGAAATGCATATGGAATAAATAGTTTAGGAAATTGTTATGAAAATGGAATTGGAACTGATATTAATAAAAAAAAAGCATTTGAATTATACCAAAAGGCAGCCGATTTAGGAGATTCAGATGGAATAAATAATTTAGGAAATTGTTATAAAGATGGAATTGGAACTGATATTGATAATAAAAGGGCGTTTGAATTATATCAAAGAGCAGCAGATTTAGGAAATTCAAAAGGAATAAACCATTTAGGAAGTTGTTATCTATGTGGAATTGGAACTGATATTAATGAGAAAAAGGCATTTGAGTTATATCAAAAGTTAGCTGATTCAGGAAAAATGTATGGAATAATTAATTTAGGAAATTGTTATGAAAAAGGAATTGGAACTGAAATTGATGAAAAAATGGCATTTGAATTATATCAAAAGGCAACAGATTTAGGAAGTGCATATGGAATAAATTGTTTGGGAAATTGTTATTATTATGGAATTGGAACCGATATTGACAAGGAAAAGTCATTTGAATTATTTCAAAAGGCAGCGGATTTAGGAGATAGTAAGGCCCAATATAATCTTGCCTTAATGTATGAGAATATTGTTAAAAATATAGATAAAGCAATTTATTGGTACAAAAAATCTGCTGATCAAGGACATCAAGATGCTCAAAATCAACTAGAAAAACTTAAAAAAAAAGGAAATAAAAACAATTCATGTAAAGTAAATTAAGAATATTTTATTAAATGTTTAATAAATAAGGACTATTTTAGTAATTATTTATTTATTGCTTTTTCAATTTACTAATAATTTTAAGAACAAATTTTATTATTGATAAACTTATAAAATCAATTAATTACTTGTAAATTATCCATATTCCAAAATTTTATTTAACCTACTAAAAATATGATATGAAAAAATCATTTACCATTTTTCAACAATATTCTTCAATCAAACCTTAAATGAAAAAGTCTTTCAATTAAAGCTAACTATTGCCATGCGATTGGCTAAATAAGCAACATAAATATAACATGATTAGCCAAAATTTAGGCAAACTAAATGTTACGTGTAAATATTTTGATAAAAAAATACGCAATCTGATGATATTACCATGAACGAAAAAGATCTTAAATTGTACGCAAATCAAACCTTACACCGCATAACTCCACTTTGATGACGCTACTCTATATATATATTCAGAACAAAAAAGAATTTAAGGAAAAAAACATTTTTTTACCCGGTCTTCTATTAACATTATCCAATGTTAGTCTTAAAAGGGTAGGGCTGAGCACAAATTTTGCAACTTGGCGGTCTTTGGTCTATACTACTAGATATGGCACAAAATTCTAAAGGTGCAAACTTTGTTACTTTTCCAAAGACCAGCTAGGACAAACAAGATCGAAAAGACCGACTTAACATCTTTAGTTGTAAACCGTCAAAGACTTATGTTTTTACTGCAGGCCTTAATGTTACAAGCTCTAGGGTTAAAACATTTGGACTTTTAAAGGCGAAATCCGAAACTTTTCGATAGGTTAAAGCTAAGACGAAATTGGCAAAACTAGCCGCTATTGATGTAACCTTCTGAACTCTTTAAACCACGTGATATAATAACTTAATGACAATGCGATGTTACTTCAAGATGACGTAAATTTTTTATCAAAATTTTTTACAAAAATTGTTAAATTATTTAGAAATAATCCAATTAATTATACGATAAAATGGATGTGATAAACGTGTTTAACAAATAAATATATATGCCCCTGTAAAAAATCTGATCCGTGTTTTATCTTTCCATGTTTTTTATCATTTTCATGGAATTTATAGCCTTAAATCTATGCAATACAAGAATAAAAAAATTTTTTTTGTATTAACACAAGAATCCCAAGTGAAAACTTCAAGATTCGTCCATTTTAACACCACATGACAAACCTTCAAACCAAAAATAGAGGAAAACTAGGGCGGTTTAGTTGGGATGGGTATATGAAGAGAGATGTTAAATTAGCCATTCGTGCTGGAATGCAGAATGCCCTCGTCATACTTTCTTGCCTATGTATAACATTATAAAAAAATAATAATTAATATCCATAAAATATTTCGATAAATTTGAAGGTTTTAAAATTTTGAAGGGTTTTGCGAAACTAGCTTCGCCAGGTTTCTGAATTGACCTCTGGCGAAACTCTTAGGTTTCGCTCGCAACATTAGTTTGCATCGGAATACTGTTTCACAAAAGTAACTATACTGAGTACTATAATAACACAATGCATAAATGCTTATATTGGTGAATGATGCGACGCGACAAAGCATCATAGTAATAAACTTTTCAAATACAAAGTATAAATTCTGCGCGAACAGACGTTTATATCAGATTTGCATGTAGTTCTATTAATAATCCATCTTATACAACCAATATAATTCGTATTTCTTTCTATCCTTCAAGTATTTCTAACTCTTTTTGTTGTATCCTTAAATGCACTGAAGTTTTCTTATTGTGCTATTATGATTAAAATGAGGTACGATATTTTAAAAATTATTATAAGTAAATTTCATACTTAAAAAAATTACTGTCACTATCTTTTTATATAATATTCCAAATTTCAATCTCAGCGTCAAATCTTAAAATAAAATAATGATGGAGCGAGGGTTATTGAAGGCGTTGTCATTATAATTCAACCAGTATAAGTGGGGAAAAAATGGAACATGATATATCTATTTAACTAAAGACTGAAGACTAAACAATAAATATTCCTAACATCCTTACGGTCAAACCCAAAAGGTGTTGTTATAATTAGCGTTTTTAAATTGCATATCAAATATTATTTATTTATTTTATTTTATTTTATTTACTTGTTATTAAAAGGGCGATATAAAATATTTTCATGAAATAAAAAAATTTTATTTTAATAATATATATATTTTATACGAAATAAAATGCATGCTATTATAAAAGAAAAAAACTTAAAATTAATTAGCTAAAAAGATTACACGCAGCTGAGAGGGTCTTCTTTCCTCTTCTGCACCGGGTTTCTGTCATGAAAGTTGTCTATAGACTGTTACTAATAGAAAAGAATTTTTTAACCCCATTTTTTTTTATTGAATAAAAATAATGTTTATGTATTCATATATTAATGCAAGGACGGCAGACTTTTCATAATTAAAATACGACATTTTTTTTTTTTTTATGTTAACAACTTGCATGTCATTTCTTTAAATTAAAATACGACATCCTTCAGAACTCCTTTGTAAATACACGATCACACATAACACTATAAAGTATTATGTATTTCGTGGAGACATTGAACTCCCTTTATATAAAAAAAAGTTTACCGGTCTTTTACGGTCTGTTAGAAACTAAATAATAAAAAATAATATTTATAATATTTATCTTTTATCACTTTATCAAAATGGTTTTTTTTAAAAAAATTTTTACGGGCAATAATATTTACCTTGCCATTGATTTTTAATAAACTATCATAATAAAGAAAATTTTTTTAAATAAAAATGGCTCATTTTTATATCTAGAAAAAATTTTTATTTTCGTTTTAACGATTTTTTTATTATAAATTTCTCCTCAAAGTATCATTTTAAAGAGGATAATTGTTTTATTTATTATGTACTAATATTTTTTTTTTTGCAAACAAAAAAACCACAATAAAGCATGAAAGCAAATGACATTCAAAGGAACGACTTAAATATCAATAAACGATGAAAAGAAAGTATTGATGCAGATCTTATAGGATGTTAAAGTCAGACTTGAACTTTCCTGGTGGTATCATCTTGGCCCTCCTTATTGTAAAATTTGTAAAATATATTACGGTATGTATTAAGAACCGTTGCACGATATATTTGCGATAAAGAAAGATTTTAATAAAGAGCTACTATTGTTTTATGCATTAAAAAAAGAGATTATGTAAAGAGTGCTTAATAATACAATACGTTGAGCGCATATTGCATGAGTAATGAAGTTCTGTAACAAATCAACTATCAATTTTTTTTCAAATCAAACAATAAATTTCAACGGTGCAAACATATGTGAAATACCTCAAAATTTGTCCGTCATGTCAAATAAAATAAATATTTGACAGTCTTTTAGTCACCAAATTTCTATTTAAGTCCCAAATTTATTAATGAACAGGCAAAAATGAGCCCTTTTGTACCCCAAATCTTGCGTCTAACCAATTTTTCCAGTGTAAAGATGCGTCATTATTTGACATTTTTTAGGAAAGAGCTTAATTTTTGCCAAATTTCATAAATCCACCGCAATGTGTTGAAGTCCATACATTTTTGTAAAAATTTTCACACTACATTAAAAAATATCATGGAAACTTTTTATTTCGAACCCAGAAAGTTACAAATAAATAATCATTCACATTTAGAAACTCTAATGCATGTCGGCGTTCCAGAAAGTTTTAAAAGAAAAAAATGAAGTTATCAAAAGAAAATATGACATGTAAAATGTTAAAACGATTATATGTTTTCAAAATATTTAGAAGGAATCGCGTTTTAAAGGCGCACAAATCGACATATGACTGTGATATAGTAGAACTTTGTAATTATATTGTCGTTACGCCAACATTAAATGGTCTCTTTTAGCATGTATGAACTAGTTCTCAACTAATAGATAAATTCGACAAAAAAATATTCACTATTGAAGCATGATATTAAGTACTAATATTTTCAGATGTATAAATATAGCTTTGACCTAAAATGATAAATTGGTCATAAAATTTGTGTCCATCCATGCATGAATTTTTTACCAAAAATGAAGAATTGATTATAAAATTTTGTGACCATCCAATACACGAATCATTTCATCGGAAATGAGATATTTTGTGGACGCAATTTGCTATAATCATGAAACTAGTTTAAGTTTCTATTAAAAATTATTTTAAACCCTGAATACACATCACATTCATGAATAAATTTACCTTTGTATTAATTTTAATCATATTATTGACTAATTATCATTTACTCATTATAACTCGTTTCCAATCATATTCACTACAATATGAGTTGTCTTCTTAGTACGGCGTTCAACAAAATAGAACTACAGGAATGATTTAATATAATTATTTAATATTACCATTCGTATTAATTCATTCAAAACTCTTGTGAATAACCATTATTGCTACTTTGTCCAATCATTTAGTGGATGATCAACCATAAAAAAAAAATAAATATTCGGCGAACTTTTTATCCTTGTCTCAACAAGTTATAGTAATCGAGTCTTTAATATTACTAATTAGAGAATATTCTTGAAACTTTAGCTAGGATCAGATACATTCATTACAATATGAACGGCCTTTATTTGAAAATTGTTTAACCGTACGTATCATCGTCGGTGTAAATGATGTTGTTTCCTATTACAAATTGTAAATTTTAATGCGCCATTTTTTTATTTTGATGATTGTTTGGGTTTCATAAATAAAAGTTTCTTTTTAAAATAAGGCATTTTTTTTAAAAATAATTTGCTGGTTTCTTAAAATAAATGTTTTTCATCGTAAAGTTAGTATAAAATGGGCTCCAGAACACCAGCTAAAAAATTTTTCTTACATCTTATTGTGCATCAATTAGAACAAAAGCAACTAGTTTAAATTTATGTTACTTATAAACTCGACATAATGGACAATCCGGTTCATTAATAAAATTTTTAAAAAATCCGTTATTATATACAAAAACTCAATTTCGTTATATCAATATGGTTAATATATCGAGGATCCCGGTATATCATACGACTATTATTATGTGACACTAATAATAAAGATTATTTTTTTCTTTATAATAAATTTCATGTCACGTCAAATTCTTACTAAAAAATCCTACTACTTGCGTGCTGCACATTCTTATATAAACGAGTTCGGACTTTCTTTGAATTTAATTAAATATTTTTGAACTATTCAGGCAATGGTTCTAAAGTAATTAAGATATTTTTAAGAAAATTCACTTTCGGGGGCACCTCTTAATTTTTCACATTTTAATTTATATTTATCATTTTAACAATCGGTTTAAAATTTGTTTAAAAATTAAAATTTATAATAATAATATAGCTTTAAAATACAATATCGTATGTATATATAATTTTCTAAGATATTTAATTAAATAATTAATTAATTAAAGTTGTGTATTCTTGTCAATAAAATTTGTTACGCTCAAATTATGATCTCCTTATCCTTAAATAATTATTCATGTGATTTATGAAGTTGATGCGTTGATGCAATAAACATGTTAATAATGTTTCATTTAAGCTACACAGAAAAATGATTTTAATTCGTTTTGGATTTGGATTTGCCGATCAATTGGATTGGATTGAGATCTACATAATCTAATCCCATAAGCGGATAGGATTATTAATTTTCGGTAGTACCATAATAGTATTGTGGATCGGGTTACTTACTAATATGATCAGTTTTCGTGTCATTTGATGATTATAAATAATTCTTTTTTTTTTATCGATCGATGAATTCAATTATTAATTTATCTTATGTCGCACTTAATCCAATTCCCAATTCGGATTTTTAATTTAATGAATACCAATACAGTTTAGGCTCAATCAAATTCAAATAAAATCAAATCCAAATCAGGTTATTAATATATAAATTTGGATGGACTTTAATGAAACCCTTCAGATTAGACTCATTGGAATCCAACTCAGATAATTTATAAATATGAATTAGACTCAATACAATCTCATTCATGATGTTTAATTTATAAATACAGATTAGATTTATAATCCAATCCAAATCTAAATCAGGTTTATAATTTATAAATATTCAATTCAATAGAAATTTTAGATCAGGATTTTTGATTTATAAATATGAATCCAATTCAAATCAGGTTTTTAATCGGATTAGACTCAATGAAATCCAAGACAGTTTGAATTCCAAATGATGAACTAACTATCCAACGAATTTTTGAAACTTTTGCAATTGTTTTGGGTTGGCAATATAAACTTTATTTCGTTCCACTTGTTGCGTCGATTTAAAATAATAATAATAATAATAATAAATCATTCTTTACAATATTATGTTAAATATGAATACATTTCTCATAATAATTAGTGTGTCAAACAAAAAAAAATCCTGATTTGTCGGAGTATCTTGCGCCATCATTGATTTTTTTAATATTAACCTAATTTAGGGGGCCAGAAATGACTCCATTTTATTTTCAGATTCCGCCTACAATCTTATATTTATTTATTCATTTAGAATAACTTCCAATGATTAGAAAACGATAATTAAAAAAAGAGTAAACATTAGTAAGAATATGTATTATTGAATATGTATTAGGATTTTCGGATGATGACCAAAATAGGAATGCGGATCTTCTGGGAGGTTCTAGACTAGTCTAAATCCGTAAAAATTACTATAAATATCTAGAACTTTCTCGAATAAAGAAATTACTAGAAAAACTTTACTTATAAATTGTCTAGAACTTTCTTTATTAAAATCCATAAATATGATAAGAATTTTTTTTTCTTAGTTTTAACAAAATAAACTTTTTTAAATACAAAATAAACTTTTTTAAATACGTAAGAAAAAAAAAAATTTTTTTATTCTTTGTTAACACCAGATATTTTTTTGAAATTCCTTTTCTTTTGATAAAAGATGTTTACTTATCCAAGTTTCATGTACGAACCAAGTACTCCACCATCATTTTATCCTCGTACAAGGAATTATCCATGTTCTTATTATCATAATAATTATAGCCCATTTTATAATCAACCTGAACTTTTTTATTATTCTACTCCGCGAAATCATTTTCCATTTGATGAAGAAGACCAAAGGGAACAATTATTGAGGGAACAATTTTTACGAAAACAACAAGAACATGAAAGAGAACAAGAATTAGAACGATTGAAAAGATTTTATGATCATAAAGCAAGGCAACAGAAACAACCGGAAGCATCAACATATAACACCAATTATCAACCAAAAAAATCGTTTAAAGTAAAAATTCAAAGTGATGAGGACGAAACAAAAGCTAAAATCAATGCAGCTCATAAAATATATAATTTTATTAAGAATCAATCAGCAAATAAACAAACTCATAAAATATTAAATAAATTATATATACTTCATAAAATTGAGAATGAATTAAAGGAAATTCAAAAAACGAAATATTTAGGAAATTTAACATTTGATAAAGAAAATGGGAAACAAATTTTACCAATTTCAATCGACAATAAAAATTTCTTGGAATATGAAAATAAAATTGTTAAATCATTTGATAAATTGGATGAAATACAAAGCGAAGGTGTTGATATTATTCGTGATAGAAGAAAATTCCTTGTAAAATTTGCTCAAACGTTATTAGATGAATTGGACATTGAAAAAGAAAATCAATGGAAAGTATTCAGTGAAAATCAATCAAATTTGAATACAACAAATGATGCCGCTCCAATTATAACCCCTATATCAAAAAAATTAGAATCAGAAAAAATAGAAAATCCAAATGAAAATGTTGATACCTTTTTACGAATAATATGATAGTTTTTTTTATATATATATATTTTTTTAGATTTTTTTTCATATTACTCAATAATTAATAAAAATGAAAATTATTGCTTCCAATAATAAAATGTAAATTTTGCTTAATATAAAGCCAAATAAATAATAAAACTCAATTACTTCGCTTTATGTCTATACGTTTTGAAAATGTTTAATGACTATTCTTTAATATTAATGAGAAAATGATTTATTATTCCAGATGTTTCCCTAATTTTACATCCAATACTTTCTTAACACTTCCCTCAATATACCAATATTTCTTCTTATATGGTCCGCCAGCAAAAATATCATCTATATCTTAGCGGCTACCGACTGACTGATCAGAATCATTTGCAACTTTATCCCGTGAATAAAATATTAATTTTATCGAATTTAAACGTTTTGGCCAATATTTTGATATTTTTGAATCCAAAAAAAAACCGTTTTTCTCATTATCCCTGAAAATTCCATAATTAAAAACAAGAAGTATTTAAGTTTAAAGAATTTTCTCGTTTCTATGAATATTAGAATATATACTCAGTCTGCGCAGTCGAACGGTTAGGAAGTTAAAAAAAAAAAATCTCGTCACGCCAATTATCACGTGAAAGTGAAGTAAGATCCTTTGACCTTCATATATTTAATATGTACAGGTTAAAAATATCACAAGGAGGATCACGTCCCATTTTTTTTGTTAGACCGTAGATTCACTTTAACATAAGATATATTATTAATTATTTTCTGGATTAATAATCCAGAAATATATTTTGTGATTTAGCCAATATTAATTATTTACTTAACCTATAACTAGTTATATAAAAATTAAGTTTTGTTTCTCAATTATAAGCGCCTATAAACAAGAGACGGCGCTTAAGTCTAAATTATCCGTCTGATGATTTTTTCATGATAGTTTATGTTATTTACTATATTATACTACATTATACTTAATATGTACTGGACCAAGATGTCCAGTATTCAATAATATTTCAATTTCACATGACTTTTTTTGGTCGAGGCATCGGGTGCAAGGCGGTGTAACGAAATTTTATTACGATCACATGAAAGTTACTATACCGTGAATTTCAGAATATCGGGTCATTCGGGTGCGGTCGTGCAAACCGAAGCACAATAAAATTATTCGCAAAAACAAAAAACATTTATAGTTTCATTATCATGCATGTCACTGCATGTAGATTATAGAATAAATAATTGTTCTATTTTTGTAAATGGGATTTTTTAATTTTTTAGATTTAAGAACAATAAGAACAAGAAAACAAAATTCACTTTTTTTTTGTGAAAATAAAGGAGAATAAATGATTTTAATTTTTTTAGGTGAGAAAAAAAAGAGATATATATATATACATATAATTATTATACTGTAATCTTAAATTTTCAGTAGATTTGACATTGTTTCACGTTCTAATACAGCGCTGATCCACGCCAATGGCATGTTGATAGTGTACGTATTTATATTTATACGAAATTTAGGAAAATGCTATAAGTATAATTTTTTTTCCGGTTTTTTTTTATTTCCGCAGTAATAAACCTTTTTAAGTTTGATCAACCAAATATTTTCTTGTATCTTAATAACGTAACACAACACAAATCAAAATGTACGCCATGTATTTAATCTAACTAATTATGATACTTGCTAATAATTTTTTTTAGTAAAAAAAAAAAAAAAATTTTTTTTTTTTTTTTTTTCAATTAGCAAAATGTCTCAACTTCTCGCCGACTGTATTAACGATATTCTTGGATATTTGGATAGAGATAAAATTACCTTACGTTCATGTTTATTAGTCAACCGACTTTGGTGTAACATTTCAGTTAAAATATTATGGAGTAATGTTTGGAATTATGATTCTAGTAATTATAGCACTTTAATTGCTTGTCTTCCGGATGAGTCGAAAGAAATTTTAAACATAAATGGAATAATAATTTCACCTCCAACATCAAAACCTCCAATGTTTAATTACGCATCATTTTGTAAAGTTTTATCAGATTATCATATTAAATGTGGGATTGAACGCCTTCTTAAAAATAAATCTATTTCACCAAAAGATTTAACCGTTAAAACCGTAGCTCAGGAAATATATAAATTGCTTATGAATCAAATTTCTTCTTTAAAAACATTACATATTGATCCATTATCAATGAATATAATATTCACTTCATATCCTGGATCACAAGAAAGTTTGAAATATCTCTCAGAATTATGCTGTCGTTCAAATGTTTATTCCGAGTTTTTTCATCAATTATCACAAATATGTTATAATATAAAAGCAATATGTGTTGTAATTGATCATCATATATCAGATGGATTGATGAATTTAATATTATCTCAAAATAAGTTGAAAAATTTGATATTTCATCAATCTCACGATCGTGAAGTTTTAAAAAGTATAATTCCATTATTAGAAAAACTTTCTGATAATACTTCAGTTAAATTAGGAGTATATGAAATAAAAAATTTTATACCATTACCATTTCCAAAAAATTTACGAGAACTTCTATTAGCATCCAATAATGGTAATTTTACTGAGGATACATTTAAAGAATTACAACGTGTTATCTTTCCAAATTTACAAGTTTTAATATTTAGTTATTTGGTTCCAAAAATTGAACATTTTAATAATTTCTTGGAGAGAAACGGAGAGAATTTGAGAAAGCTTTATTTAGAAGATTGTACTAAAGCCTTAGATTTAAATTTATCTATATCAAAATTTTGTCCAAATCTTGTAGTACTTTCCACTTCAGTATCCGGTTATGATGATTTGAAAGTTATTTTTGTTAATTGTCAACATTTAGAAAGTATTAAATTAATTGATCAAAAAATGGATATGAAAGAATTATTTAATGTTATCGTAAATTATTCACCCAAAAATTTTTTTAAATTAATACATCATTATGATCATCAGATGGAATTACAATTACTTCCAGAAGTATTAGAATGGTTTTTTATGAGTTGGAGTAATCGTGAACAACAAAAACCATTTTCTTTAATTATTATAGATTTCTTGAAATCATCTAAAATTATGAAAGATCATGAGAAAAAGAAAATTATTGAAAATTATATTAAATTAGGTGTCATTAGGAAATTCAGATTTGTAGTTTATAATGAAGATTATTGAATAGATAGAGTATTATAGTATATATATTTTTTATATTATATATGTATGCGTATAAATCTTTTATAACAAATAAATTTATTTTTTTTTACGATAATAAATGTAAGGCGTTAAGTATTTTTAGGATGTGCTTATTTGTCGACAAATGGCAAAGATAATAAGTGACGAAAGTAATATTATTTCAACTATAATTGCATTACCAATAAATTTTACAGAGTGCTTATTTTAAGCCTATGAACGATAAATTATTTTATTTTATAGGATACAAAATTAAAAATATACGTACTGCGTTTGTTTATACGTGATATTCTACAAATTTCTAAGACCGATCCAGTAACATCCAAAAAAAAAATTTCCGCAAAACGGAGTTGTAAAATTTGAAATTCAAGTAATTATTTTAATAGATACAAAAAAAAAATAATTTGAATTCTAACATTAATTATTGTTTTCCAAATACTTATATTCGTTAAAATTATTGAAATACTTTCATTTAATTGCACTTCTATGTTTTATCATAAATTCCTTTTTGCTACCTCAAATATTCTGCGTTAAATTCATCTTATTTTCTGCTACTACCGACGCGAAAATACATTTATGATGGGAGGGAGAGATTTAAGTAGCATAGTACTATTTTTAAAAATTCTTTTGTATATATTCAATCGGCGAAATGCACATCGCTATAATGTGATAGGTTAAATAAATGGGTAGTAAATAGTGGACAATGAAAATCCATATCATAATGTGAAATTTAGTTTAATTTCTTACATCAATTAACCTGTTGCGTTGCAACAGGATTAAATGAGTTTAAATCAATATAACAATAAAATCTTTGCTTTATATTTAAATAAATTAGATCTTATATATTATTAACACGTTTTTATTTTAATTATATGTTGGTCCCAAACATAAGAGGTAAAAGAGCGAAAAAAAGAAAAAATAGAAAAAAATTAGTAAAATAAAAAAATTATAAAAAAATAAAAAATCACGCTTACCGTAAGACTGCAGTGTTCGATCCAGATAGTAGTATCCAGATCTAAAACCTAAAAGACGAAATAAATAATAACTGATAACGATAATATACCTATACATATATAAATTTACCCCTTTTTTGCATTTAATGGTGGCCAAGGTCCTCATAATTCTGGCCAAAATCGCTTAATTCTGGCAGGGATGCTTATTTACTAACCGCAAAATATGGTAATAAAAAAAAAATATGTATAAAAATAAATGAAAAAAATTCAAAAAAACTGATTGAAAAATATTAAAAATTTATTAAAAATTTCGGTTAAAAGATCCGGTCTACCGAAAAAAGAATAATATTAAAAAAAAAAAAAGATCCAGTCTAAAAAGACCGAAAAATATTAAAAAAAGATGTTTACAGCTGTTTTCATACTATTCGAGACAAAGTAAAATTTTGAACCCGATATCCGGTCCGGTATGTCGGATGTCGGATTGTCACGTTATATTTGCTTTGTTTATTTCATAACGATAATAGTTAAAATAGTTAAACGATATAATTCATTGATTCATAATTCATATCATATTTATATTTATTTTTCCAAATATATATATATATATAAAGTCTCAGACTACATCTTTAACTTATAGTCCTAATATTTGTCCGATATGTTTAGTTTGTATAACTTGTGCAAGAAGTGGAAATAATTGTATTTGTGCATCCAAAGACTCTTATAAAAAAATCAGGAGGATCACTTCGCAAACCAATTACAAAAAAATGATATATAAAATATAAGAAAGCAATAGATTATGCCTTTCTTGCATGGTTTAAAGCTAGTGTACCTACTATACTTAAAGTTCCTGAGAGATCAGATTTTGTTAACATATGCAAAAGCTGCATCAACAAATATGAAATCA